CAACTAGTATGCTACGTAGATATCTCCAAATACTACCATTGCAATACTTTCTCTGCCCAGCAAATGAACGTTATCCATTAGCACTCAGACATGTCAATGTTAAGCAATCAAAATGGGAGAATTTTAAATTCTACCAAGAAAGCAGAATATTTAGTAATCAGACAGGGAGAACTCTGGGAAACAGTGACGTGAGGGTCCCCATGGCCTCTGTTTGTGATGACCCAGTTATTATTTGATTTATGTGGACTTGCAGCTGCCCTTGCTTTGACCCCAGAAAAGGCTGTGTGGGAAGTTTGTGTCTCAGAGCCGTAGCATTGCTCTGCAGAGTGTCTGGAGCCTAGTGTATGCACAGAAACTGATAAATAGGGAAAAGGCCCAGTTTGCTCCAGCTGGACTCAGAGGATCAGAGCTAGGATCAGTGCTACAGTGCAGCAGACTCAACTCTGGAAGCAAGAAACTCTCTGAAACTACCGTAAGTATTTCATTTACTTCTGTGAATGCTCTTGGATTATAAATTGTTGCTCTAGCCATAAATCAATTTGCCATGTGAAAATATTTCAGACATTGGGCTTTTTTCTTCTTTTTCCTTTTTTTTTTCTTTCTTTCTTTTTAAACGGCTGTCTTAATGAAAATAGAAAACATGCACTTTTACATTTGGTATCCTACTGACAAGAATTTGTTCCAATAGTACTTTGTTTGACATACAGAGTGAAATAAAACAACTTTTAAATTCAATTATTAGTTTCCCTTCCACAAAGTACCTGGAAAACTGTAAGTTTCAAACAACCTCTAATCTGTTATTTTATGATGTATAACAATTATACCTTTTAGATAATTATTCATGGGGTAACAATTCCAAAGGAAGATTTCAAGATAATTGCAACACAGCCCATTAGTGAAATAAGCCAATTCCTATTATGGTTATTATATGACAAGGAAGAAACACATTTAATGAGAGGAAAAGCAGGATTTCTTCAAACAGCAGCTTTGGGGAGGTACTTAGCACATTAAAACTGGGAGAAACGGATAAAACCTTAATAATGTATATAAGGTGCATATAGGATCAATCAAGTGATCCTACAACTTCCCCTGCAAAATCATTGTTTAATTACAGTAACCAAGTGATTACTGAATTGCTTGAGTGAAATGAAATATCTCACATAGCATCGCATATAGTTGCCACTGATTGTGCTCAGTTAAAATTTTGTTCATTTTTTCATTTAAACTTCACAAATTAAAAAATTAAGCTATGCTTTCCAGAAGGAAAAAGAAGTACAGCGATTAACACTGAGATTGAAATGTGCTATCTACTTCCACTACATGATCATTAACATGCCACAAGATGTGTTAAATAAATGTTGAAGACCTTCAGCTTGAGTTTCTAAAATTCCCTGTAAACAAGACATTTTCCTATGACTCAACAGTCAAAATATTTACGATAACAGTTAAAGTACTGTCAATACATACCTCTTAAAGAGCTCCCTGGAGCCTCTTCTACAAGAAGTATGTTTTGCATCTTAATAAATTTGATAATATGTTACTTTATGATATGGTATTTTATAGCAATAAAAATGATAAAACCAACATCTTTCACCATAAATAACAATAAATAGATGTACAGCATGTATTCTAGTCTGAACCTGTACATTCTGTTAAGTGACTGGTTTGTAATTCCACTTTACTTTTATCAATTAACGGCTTTTTTTTTTTTCCTTTAATGGCTTCCATCTTTGATGCATTGAAAAGTCTTTCAGTTAGGACTAATAACTGAATGTTGCTAACTTCTGTATTAGATAGATAACCAACCCCTTGAATCAGCATACATTCCAGTTCATATTGAATGTTATTAGTTCAGAAGACTGATTACTGTCAAAACTAAGCCTGTAAAAGTGCAACATTTTCAAATGCGCTTAAGCAACCTAGAGTCTAGGTCATATCTCCTGGGAAAAAAAAAACAACTCCCAAAACCACAGAAACACCATTCCTTCCCAATGATCAGGATTTCACGCATTAAAATATCCAGCAGAAACAGCACCTCAGAAGTAACTGAGAAGAAGGAAAAGCAGGGAACAGTATGCGCCTTTACGCAGATGACATTTTCTTTCAGGGCAGTACGTCTGACTAAGGACTAAAGACTTTCATCCTAACTGTGTTACTGCTTGTGATTCTACGAAACAAGATATTAAAAAATTAATCTTCTTTTGTTTTCAGCTATTTCCACTTTTTAGGCTAAAGACCTTTATGCATCATCTTTGGGAATATATTTCTTTTTTTTTTTGCTTCCTTTTTAAAGCACACATACACAAAACATATGGCTATATTTTGAATACACAGAAAAGAGAAAAATAGGCAGAAAATATTTTGGTTTGGAATGGCATGACTATAACTGCCTCAAACACCCAAAGCTCTTACTCCAATCTTATTTCAACTTTGTCCAAGTTACTGTGTTTTGAAAATTACAATTGGGCATGTATGCTACATTCTGTCAAGGATTCCATAGCTTCACAGTGCATAGCTAAGCTTTGTGTGCATGCAGAATTTACTTGCCTGCAGGGCAAAGGGTTAATGAATGTATGTGTGGGCTGAAGAAGTGTCCTTTAGGTCATGGTTCACTCCCATGAGGTGTGAGAGATTAGGGACAGCTACTGAACTTTTGAGTGACCAGCATATAATGCATTATGAAATTTCAGTAACTCCTAAAGTTTGGAGGAGGCTTCCCTACTGCTGGCTGACTCGTATATAAAGGGTGAGGCAAAGGTGACAGTCAATCTTATAAATAATCAAAACTTTCCTGTCCTAGAAAATTAAGTTCCTTCTTTGTATATCTTTATATGTTCTTTATATGTTTTGTTTTAAAAAGCACAATGCTATTATATCAGAAGAACAAGCTTGTTAATGCTGAATTCTCAAGTGTCAGGAAATAAAACAGTTAACATTAATGCACAGGCATGACCATTAAGTCTCATTTCAAGACAATATAGCATTCCTTAAATAAATAACCACTGGATTTACTATTAATACTGTTATAACACTCTCTTAATTTAAGAGTTTCAATTTACAAAGTTTCATTCTAAGCTGGGAATTCTGTGGATGCAGTTGATAACTTTTATTAGCCATAAAAATCAGTAAGAAGGGCTAAATCCTCAAATCCATTCTCATACAATACCTAAATTGAGGAAACTTTGGCTAATGAAAGTCTGCTTCCAAGATTTAGAATGCTTAATCAACCGACCACCTTGCATTTGGTAATATGTATTTCATACACCCAATATAATATTTTTTTTCAGACTGGATCAGAGTAGTTTTATTTTAGCTTCTATTATTTTTTTTTTTAAAGAAACTACTGGAATCCAGAAACACATTTCTTCAGCAAATACACATTTTTTTGGGAAAAATGTAGACTTTGCCCAGGCCAAACTGATCTAACTGATAAGGATCTCATGATTCAGTGAGTCATTTCTCTCTCAAACAAATATTTACTAGACGAGATAACAAAAAAAAATCAGCATTCCAGCCTTACTGCATCTTTTCACCTTCTACTGACAACATGAAGAGAAAGTGTTCAGCTCCAAAGATACGTCCAGTTTTTGGGAAAGGGATGCATGTCTTTCAAGACATGACTTCAGTTCAGGTTCCCTGAAATGATATATTCATTTTCTCAGCTGCAGCTAGGTACAGGTATTGCACAAAACCCAACATTTGAGCCTTTCAAGGAAGATTTTTAAACCCAATTTGCTGTAAATTCTGCAAGAGACATATACAGATAATGCTGTTGCACACGTAGGAGTTTGCTTTGCTATACTTTGCATGTACTTACTTGCCTTTTCCGTCCTTCCTGTCTGCTCGGGGAAAGCCTATGAATAGTTGACTGGCAAATTGTCTTGTAAAGTCCTTACTCCATGGGCATCAAATACAACATACTTTTAACCAGTGATGGTCTCATACATTCCACACATGCAGAGGGACAAGGGGGCAAGAAAAGTATTTCCTACTTACTTCTCTAATGGCTACTCCATTACCACTCAATTGCTAAGCAATACCAGACATTGTCTATACACATATGTAACCTTAAACCCATCTCATGCTAGTGTCTACATAGACATTCTGTTTTTTCTAAAACTCTTTCAAGAATTTTTAGAACACACTTTTTCAGAACCTCTCTATAAAGACAAACTATTGAAAAATAGGATAAGTTTTGAACTCAAAGCACAATAGGTATTCCACACCAACTGTGTCACTGTGAGCTCTCAGAACACTTTGTTATGGTGAATGTCAAAGCATCCAGCCAGCAGCCCAGGCTCCTTCAATAATCAAGGGACAGAGAAAAGCTCTCTAGAGGGCAATACATCCTATATGAGATTGATTGTTTTGGTCTTCACTGGTTTCTTTGTACTCTTAAAGGAATATAGGCTCTTAAATTTGGAACCTAATGTAAATTATGCAGTGCTTAACTGAGGCAAAGATGACTTTTACTGCATAAAAGAGTATTTACATGGGGAAGAGATATCCTATGCTGGCCTTTCCAGGGTATTTTCCTGTATTTGCTTGCTTCAAATTTGAATTAAAAGTGAATGAAGCAATTTCACTAAAAGCTCATCTTTGTGCAGAAACAGAGCATCCACCACATCCACATTAGTGCGAATGCCCTAACTCATTCTGAAAGCAAGTTTCTTCTATCCAGTGAAGCTGCTTTTAATCTCTTCCTGAACTAGTTTTGTGTAAAATTCGGAGCAAAACAGTTCTAAATATAACTTGAAAATTTAGGAATAGACTCTATCCTGAATCTATACTATTAGGACAATCAATCGTTTTGCAACCTCACTGAAAGTATCATGTGACTTTGCACATGTCTCTGATCTGCAAAATGTTCCATATTCTGGAGTTTTCTGGTTTTAGCTCTGTAGCTAAACCTACCCAGCAATTCTTTCTCACATGATGTTTCTCTTACTTTTCCATTTCTCTAGGTTGCCTTCTTCAAAGTCTATCACATAGCGAAGTGAATGAGACAGCGCAATTGGGAGCAGAATATGGCAAATACATTTGTTACTGTACCTGATGGGTATTGTCTTCCTGAGCCCATACAGTATTATGGTGAGTAAAGCAAAATTTTTGTATTATGAAAAAGCAGTATAGTAAAATGAACATCTGTGGGAATTCCCATTATTTTCTTCATTTTAGTTTATCTTTACAAGCTCTTAGAAGCTACACATTTGACTATCAAGTCCATATTGAAAGTGTACTGAAATATATTCGCATGTGCTCATACAGATTTTTGTACATAATGTGATTATGCTGACTGATCCGTTCATATGAACATTACTAGTGCTGTCTCCCTTTGACTTGCATGAAGAAGATACAGGTTTTATTACAGTATTCCAGATACATTATAAATAGATAATGGTTATTCTATAGCTTATATAACTATAATTGGAATAATTAATTTGATTCTGGATGAGTAAAAGCCCATTAAAAAGACCTCCAAATTGCTCAACCCCCCCCCCCAAACTTTTCCAATTTGTTTTTACAGAGATTTGCACAACCCCAAAGGAAGAATGAAACATGATGCATGTTGCACAAGCTTCCTTCAGTACAGCTGTGTACATTTAAGGGGGGTTGGATAAAATTAAAACTCTACAGATAGGAAGTCAGGAAGAAGCGCTCTTCAAAATTCTGTACCTACATTTTGCTAAAATAAAATTTCATAACTATAAAGGATTATATGTGGAAAAACACTAAATAAAACCTGCCTCTGCTTTTTACTCTATTGAATTTCAACTTTAAGACTCCTGTCACAGTAATTTTTACCACTCTATAATTTCTGGACTATCTTTCTTAGACTTGTTGTACAACATTTGCAAGATTATGCCTGAAATATGTATCAATAACAAACATTTCACTCATTAACAAATTCACTTACCTATGGGAAAATATTCTTCTGTAATGTGGACAACTAATAAAAATAACCTTTAAGTGTAAAGTCTAAAGGTATCTATATCATCAGTTGGCAAGTGATATTCAGTTAGGTACTAACAAGAGTCCAGTGCCACCCACATGACATTGCTCAAACTGTTACTAAGCTATTTTTACTACATCTAAAATTATACTTAGAAACATTAAAGGCAGCACATGTAAAAGTGTGTTAGACTGCTCTTCTGAAAATGTGTTCCTCTAATATTTATTATTAAATATTTAATCTGTAAAACATTTTAAAACTTTCAAGTAGTTGATGTTGAGATATTCTTCAGGTTTTTATTTAATTTTCAATTTCTTCTGTATCTAGATGTTTTACCAGAGCACATCAACTACCAGCTGCAAGACACCGATTTTCAGACTGCACCTTACTGCCAATACTCAACAGTTCAAAATCCTCCTCCAGTATTACAGTCACAACCTTCTCAGTCCCAATACAGCACATATGGCCTGGACCCTCAGTACAGTGACGGGCAGTGTGTCATCAGCAGCTGTGAATTAAGCAAGCCCCCTTTCATGGCTCCCCACATTGATGATGGTGGATACCAAGGATTAAAACGGCCAAGATTAAACCATTCTTCTTTGAGACTGAAGGGGCAGGAGGAGCTGTGTGTTGTGTGTGGTGACAAGGCCTCAGGCTATCACTATAATGCACTTACCTGCGAAGGCTGTAAAGGTAAGAGAACAGGCTGATCTGTATCTTGCCCAGGACCATGGCCCCACAGCGCTCAACATAATGTTCCACTTCTGTGATTTAAGCAAACAGATTTCATTATTTTTTACACTGATGTTTCTACAGAGGATGTTAATTTATCTAAGGGACCCTTTATCTAACATGTTTACTTCAGATTCACATTTTTATAACATTTTTTGAAGAAATGCTTTCACAGCATGTATTTAATATGAGCATTTCATGCATCTCATTTTTGCATTGATTATTCACTAGAATAGTGTCTGTTTAAGCAGGTGCTGATTTTCTCATGACCATTTATTATAGATTTACTTCAGTGTTATTAACTTTACTTATTATTAGAATGACATAAAATCGAGTAATAATTACTTGCTACTTATTTTTAACTTGCTATATGGGAGCTGTCTTGATCAGGTAAGGAAAGCAGTGATTAATATTAGTCAGAAAGAACAAGACATAACTATGTTGTTAAAAAGCAAATTTAAAATCAAGGTAATGTTTCCACTGTAAAAACAAAACAAAACAAAACACCCCAAAAAACTCCAAAAGTCACTTTAATTCTTTAAATCATTATGAGATAAAGCTCCTTAGATTCCTTCAGTCATAACCTGATCCTTGTCTGTAGGCTTCTTTCGACGTAGCATAACCAAAAATGCAGTATATCGATGCAAGAATGGTGGTCATTGTGAAATGGACATGTACATGCGAAGGAAGTGTCAGGAATGTCGCTTGAAGAAGTGTAAAGCTGTGGGAATGCTAGCGGAATGTAAGTGCTCCTTCCATGCTGGCTACTTCACTAATCAACTCAGATAAAACCTTTTCCAAAGTCAATCTCTTCTCCTCATTAGAGCTAAATAGTATTGGTCTAAACTTCATTTAGCTGTAGGAAAATTTAACTTTGGAGTCTGTAGCACCTGTAACATCTTCATCTGCAGAAACCACCAATGCTTGGGAAGTATGTCCTGAAGTTAAGAGGACTGCCGTTCAAAGACATTTCAAGAAAAAAAAGAAAATACTAACAAAATACAGCTAAATATTCTGAACCTTGACAAGACAGCAGTAATATCAGATGTGCTTTTGTGTTTGGGGGGAAAAAAAAAAATTGCACAATAGTCTTTCATGAAAAATTCTCACGCTTGTATGTCGCAGACCAACAAGCAAGATAGCGTAAGACTGCAAACACTCAGGCCTTTGGTGGATAGTGAACACTAACTCGCCTAATGAATAACACATTGCCATATTCTTGTGGAGGTCCCTATAGGTGATGGCTCCTGTGATGCAAGACTCGTATTATCTATAATAATAAAAATGATGATTTCAAGTTGTAATTATTTGAAAATGTACATATTAATACACACTTTCATGCCTCACAGGTTTGCTGACTGAAGTACAGTGCAAGTCAAAGCGACTCAGGAAGAATTTCAAACAGAAGAGCAGTTTTCTTTGCAACATAAAATTGGAAGATGAGGGACTGAATAGTAAGCATGTATCATCTACAACAAGATCTGGAAAAGTGGGATATTTTTCTATTTAAAATATCTATTTTTATAATTTATTTTTGCCCCAAGTGATTGTCACTTGATTTGTTTGGTCTTTTAACAGATCAGAGAGAAGATGGAACTTACTCCAGGGGAACATCAACTTCTTGATCGCATTGTAGCAGCACACCAAAAATACACAATTCCCTTTGAGGAAGCAAAAAAGTTTGTAAGTATACAGAACAATCAGCCTGCACTGCTAAGTTACTATTGTCCTAAGCACTGTATCTTGGTTATATCAGATGTCTAAACGCTCTTTCATTCAGCTACAAGAAACTGCAAGTCCTGAGGAAAGTTTTCTCCGTCTTTCAGAGACAGCAGTTGTCCATGTACAAGTGTTAGTGGATTTCACAAAAAGACTTCCAGGTAAGTTTCTTCCTTTGGGAAATACTACAGAACAGTGTGACTCTTTTTTTTTTTTTTAAAGAGACAGAAACCATACCGATGGCATAAATCTAAGAAAAATACAGGCTGTAAGAAAACTCTCATTCAACTGACTATTTTTTCCTCCAACTCTAACGAGCAGGGTTACCATTTACTTGTCATGAGGACAAGTTAGAAGCATTGACTTCAAAAGCTTGCTATGATTAGATTTCTTTTCCATTTCTGACATGGAGTAGAGACATTTTCTGAAAGCACATGGACTTCAAAATACCATCTTGAGTGAATTACTATTTCAACACATTCTCTGAAATCCATTTCAGTTCACAATTTATCATAATCATCAAAGAAAAAACCAGATGTTCCTTCAAAGGAAAAGGCAGCACAGAAGGGACTGACCAGGTGCTCCAATTCATATTTTCCTTTAATAAAGAACAAGGGAACGTGCAAATAAATTTACTGCATTTCAGTGTAAAGTTGACAAAATAACATTTGACAGGGAGGGTGATAATTTTTTCATTACTCTTTAAGTTGTAAAACTTATTGATGAAAGTCAATCAACATGTCTAAAGCAGATATTTGATGTAATTTAGCACTACTGTGGAACAGATCTGAAAGAATAGATGAGCTCTTTGTTTTCTTATGTTACGTATTCTGCTTTGATTGGGATTAAGAAAAGAATCAATAAAATTCCTTTATTCTTGAATTCTAAGTGCAGATAATGAGTTTGTCAAAAGATGAACACAATTTTAAAAAATATACCAATGAATAAGGAGAATATCCACAGTGACTTTATAAATTTGCTACATTGCTTAGTATTAGGCCATGTAATACAAATCAGATATTAGGAAGAGATTTTCAGTGAGGTCTTGCTTAGTCTTACTTTCTTATTTGTATCTTCCTGTGAATCTTCTAACACTGGACACTGACAACTGACACCTTTTTTTTTTTTTTTTGTCTAGCCTGCAAACTAGCAAGCAAGAAAGATCCCAATAGTCTTTGGCACATGCATCTTTTAATATGGCTCCTCCTTTCCAGTAGAGGCATTTACTAAAAAAATCATTTTATCAACTCATGTTAGGTCATGTTTGGGGCTTAAAGACAGCCACAGCCTTCCTTGATTCTTAACATGACTCTTTCTCTGCAGGATTTGAAAGTTTAGCTAGTGAAGATCAGATCGCACTGCTAAAAGGCTCAACAGTCGAGGCAATGTTTTTGCGTTCAGCCCAAATATATAACCAAAGAATTAGTGAATGCCAACCATCAACAAGTGAAAGTAAGTTTGACTAGCAAGCTTTCTATTAAAACCAGTAGGAAGTTCTGCCTCCTATTGAAATTTTGAAACAATTTCCATTAATTTTAATTCACTTTATTTCAAATAATTTCCTATTCAAGCATAGTGGTACTTAGAATAGTACCAGTAATGCCTATGTACCTTTCATAGGTTTTTTTTGGATCTCTGTTTTCCTCCTATTAGTTCCAAGCAGAGAGCTACATTTTTGAGTGTTTGCACAAATTGTGGGGTGGATGGATAATATTAGCTATATTAATGACATATTATATATTGTGTCAAGTTTAACACAAGAGACTTTGACCAACAATAATGCAACCAATGAACTTGGTGCTGGATGCCCAAAAGATCTATTTTTTCTACCTGCATGCATCTGGGAAAAATTAACACATTTGCAGGTATATATCTTCAAAGCAGACACTGACAAATATTTAAAGTCACACTAAGCTTGGCTGGGAACTGTCATCTGTCTTGTTCCAGGTCATGTAAGACTTTCTGATCATGGGACATGTTGTCACGTTCCAAACCTTGATAAAAACAACATTTATTCCATGGAAATGTCTCACAATGAAGAGAGCCCAACTTCCACTACTACCACAGGTAATAGAGGTCTCAGAATCAAAATACTTGGGAATCTTTTGCTTTGCTGGCCCTGGTCTTAATCACAGTGAGCAACACTGTCAGAGCAGCCACTGCTTCTTCTCTTCTCTTCTCCTCTTCCTCTCCCTTCCCTCGAGCTGCTTTGTTACATGCGCAGGCATTACATCCTCATGGAAAGAAAAGGTAGTGTTCATGTTTGCTTATATCCTAGGATAAAGCCTTGAGCCATATATATCAAAAGCTCCACAGTACAACTGCAATACAACTTTTGTTACAACTTTAGAAATTAACATTGTTTTCACAAAGTTTGCTAACTATTGCATGCAATGGAACAGCCTGGGGCCTTAAAAGATTAGGACAAAGATGATTTGTAATAGCAGTACCTGTTTCTGCACTGAAATAACAATCTAATTATTTTATTTCATTTTTAAGGTATAACCGAAGAGTTTATTACCGCACTGTTTTACTTCTACAGAAGCATGGGGGAACTGAAAGTGACTGAGACTGAATATGCCCTGCTTGTAGCAACAACTGTGTTTTTTTCAGGTAAACTGGGAGCCGACTAGCTATTACGCGTATTACAACGACCTTGCACCTGCCCCAGGGCCTGCCCACCTCCACCCACCGAGCCCGCAGGTGCGGCAGCGCTCTGCGCCCCC